GAAAGTTATTGTAAGGCAAAAAGACGCCTCACGGGCCGTCTAAAGCCTCAAGGCGTCTCTAAGGCCTTCCAGGTCCTGATAAAAGCCTTCTTTTCATAGAAGAAGTCTAAAAGCTTTTCTAGAATTAAAAGACTTGAGGATGGTTTTCTAGCTCTGAAGACATTTGAAAAGTTTTCTAAGTCCTAGAATTCATCTAAAAGATCTTCAAACTATTGAAGATATCTCAAAGATGTTCTTGACATAGAAAGCCTCTGAAAGATCTTTGAGTCGTTGAAAGTCTCAGAAGGGTCTTCTAACCAAGGAAACCTAGGGGAAACCATATCCAAACCAAGAAGTCCATAACATAGAGATGTCCGAAGTGTCTTTTGGAGCCTTTCACAGGCCAGAGTTCGCCAAATACCACTAAGTTCCCTAGGTCCTAGAATACATCTAAAAGATCTTCAAACTATTGAAGAAAGAAGAAGAAAGATGTTCCTGACATAGAAAGCCTCTGAAATATCTTCGAGTCGTTGAAAGTCTCAGAAGGGTATTCTAACCATGGAAACATAGGGGAAACCATATCCAAACCAAGAAGTCCGAAGTGTCTTTTGGAGCCTTTCAGAGGCCAGAGGTCGCCAAATACCACTAAGGAGTTTTTTTCAAAACGAAGATCCTTGCAGAGAAGTCCGAAGGGTCTTTTGGAGCCTTCCAAAGGTCATATATCTTCGAAGATTTCTGAAGGTTCTTCTTTCTAACGAAGACCTTTAAAGAGACCATAAAAGACCCCAAAAGGAAGTTCTTAACTCCTTTTAAAGCATTTTATCCACAAAAAGCCTCTGAAAGGTCCTCTAGTCTATAACAGTTTTTTTCTCAGGACCGTATAAGACCCCTAAAAACCCTCCGGGCCGTAAAAGACCTTGGCTCCCAATTACTTGTTAAAATTCACATAATGTCTCACATATCTGTTCACATCTGGCCCATTTATATACCACTTACATATCGTTATTGACTTACCTACATAAATATCAATCAAATAGCTTGTATCTCGATTAGTATGTATCCATAATTCAGCACCACAACACACACACAGCGATACCCATATTCACACGTTAATTATACGACAACTGGGCTGATTGGCTGGCTGGCTGGCTGAATGACTCCCTTAGCTATCCGACAATAACAAATTATCAATGTTTGGTGGTTTAACTGGCTCGTTTAAACGATTGACACGGACGGCCCAGCCGACATTAATGACGATGACGAACGAACGAAGAATAAATTGAATAAATAAATAAATTATTGCGAACGAACAACGAATATGACTATGTAAATATTTATCTAATTTGTTGTCATCGCTGCTAAGCCGAAAACCGAAGCCGAAAGAAATATGAAATATGATCGACGGAGAGGGGAGGGGGGACCAGCCAAGCAGACCTGAGGATCGGGTCCGTCTCTCCCTGTATGTCTGTCTGGTGGTGGTCAGGAGCTAAGCATCGATAAATTGTCTGACTGGTTGTGGTTGGTGGTTTCAACCGCACTTTGAGGCTAAGATTGTTTTTCGTTTGTTTCGTTTAAGACCGGTAGTGATGTTGGCGATGCCAATAACAACAAATATTGAAAGCGAACAACAACAAAAAACACTGCTCACAAAGAAACCAAACAAAATCAAGCGGCGTTTTTGTATTTAAATGCGAAATGTTAAACAAATATCTAAAAACTAATCAATAATAAAATATCTCTAACAAACAATAATAATATTTCGCAAAGCAAAGCAAAACAACGACAACAACAACAACAAGTCAACAAAACGAATGATTTGTTACTCGTGTTTTGTTTTTTTTTTCCTTTTCTTTTTGTTTCGAGAGCTGCCGTCGTTTGGTTGAGTGTGAGAATTTGCCTATCTCTGAGTGAATATCAACAATTATAACCAGATTACTACTACCCACCCATTACACCCCCCATAACGGTTTAATGAGAGTGAGTAATACATGCTCTCGGAGCATAACAAAGGTGTAATGACAATAAAAACAACAAGTAGTAAATATGGGTAGGTAATTTGTAAATATTTATAATAAACGGGCAATTTGGCCTCCCCTTCTCTCTCTCCCTCTCTCCACAAACACCAACAAATCGACCAAAATAAAAACAAAGCAGCACCGGTTTTTTGGAGCAAATACTCCTTTATACTCCGTGAAACAGTGGTGACAACTTTTCAAAAGGGGAAAAAACGTTTAAAAATTTAAAACGCGATTTATTTTTATCAATTAAAAAAAGGTGTCTAGACATTATTTTTTTTTAATGCTTTTAATAGAGAGACTAATAATTTGCACACAAGCGTCAATATTAAGCTCTCCAAAGGTTAAATCGTCCTTTTTAATGTTCTATACGAAGATAGAAAATATATGTATAAATAAAGTCAAGAAAATATTTATAATCAATTTTTTCAATTGTAGACTCCATTATAAATATTATCATTACTATCGTTTATTCGCATATTTGTTACAACGAAAAACATTCAATTCGTTTGAAATAGATTTATTAGAAGAAAAATGGGCAAATTCTCTCCTTGTCAACCAACAAATAACAAAATTAAAACAAAGGATCACCGGTTTCAGGGCTAATGCCACTTTATATCCAGGAAACAATGTTGACAACTTTTTAAAAAGGAAAAAAATCACCTTAAAATGTTTAACTGTTATTATTTTCATGATTTTGAAAAAAAAAAAAAATAATATGAATATAATATATATTAAAATTAACTTATATAGGTAGAACGTCTGAAACAGATTTTTTATGACCTAGGAAAAGTCTGGTTTACAAAGTCCTATAATATGGCCAACAAATTTCTGAGGGGGTTTTACCCTTACTGAATACCTTTGAAAAATAGCGTCCAGCACGTAATAAGTTTCAAAGATCAAGATCAGATTAGATCGTGTGTTGGTGGAAATATTGGGATGTGCAAAGTTTGAAGAGAATGGGATGCTTATTTCGCCTTTGATGAGTATTTTAGTTATTCAAAATTTTGACCTCTTTGTGGGAGAGGTAGCGTAAAATGTGGGCTGATATCTTCCATCTTGAAATCAGATCTTGTGCTGCAAGAAATATTGGGATATGCAAAGTTTGATGAGAATGGGGTGCTTATTTCGCTTTTCACGAGGATTACGGTTATTCAAAAATTTGACGCATTTGTGAGAGAGGTACCAGAAGGAGTGGGCCGATAAATTCTATATTAACATCAGATCTTGCGTTAGTGGAAATATTGGGATGTGCAAAGTTTGAAGAGAATGGGATGCTTATTTCGAATTTTATGAGCATTTTGGTTATACAAAATTTTGACCCCATTGTGGAGGAGGTACCAGAAGGAGTGGGCCGATAAATTCTATATTAACATCAGATCTTGCGTTGGTTGAAATATTGGGATATGTAAAGTTTGAAGAGAATGGGATGCATATTTCGAATTTTATGAGCGTTTTGGTTATTTAAAATTTTCACCCCATAGTGGGGGAGGTGCCAGAAACAATGGGCCCATAAATTTCATATTCATACCAGATTTTGTGTTGGTAGAAATATTGAGATGTGCAAAATTTTTAAAAGAGTCGAATGATTATTTCGCTTCTTATGAGGATTACGGTTATTCAAAATTTTGACCCTTTTGTGGAAGAGGTACCAAAAAGAGTGGGCGGATAAATTCCATTTTCACATTAGATCTTCTGTTGGTAGAAATATTGAGATGTGTAAAATTTAAAAAGATTCGGATGCTTATTTCGCGTTTTATGATGATTACGGGTATTCAAAATGTTGAACCCTTTATGGGAAAGGTACCAGAAGGGGTGGACCGATAAATTCCATATTAACATCAGATCTTGCGCTTTTAGACATATTAACATGCGTAAAATTTTATAAGAGTCGGATGCTTATTTCGCATTTTATTTGTGTTTCGGTCATTCAAAACGTTGTGGAGGAGGTACCAGAAGGAGTGGTCCGATCTATTTGTTCTTCATACGAAATGTTTTGTTTGTGGAAATACTGGGATGAGTAAAGTTTGAAGAGGTAGGGAAGCTTATTTCGCATTTTATGCGCGTTTCGGTTAATCAAAATTATGACCCCGTTTGTGAGAGAGGCACCAGAAGCAGTGGTCCAAAAATCTCATTTCCATGCCAGATTCTGTGTTTGTAGAGATATTGGAATGTGTGAAGTTTTAAAAGAATCGGATGCTTAATTCGCATTTTTGAGCGCTTTGTGTTGACCCCTTTGTGAGGGAGGTACCAAAAGGAATAGTCCAACACATTCCGGCTTCACACCAGATCTTGTGCTGATAAAAATATGGGGACATGCCATGTTTGAAAAAATCGGACCTCTTTGTGTGGGAGGTATCAGAAGAAGTGAGTCGAAATATCGCATTTTCAAACCAGATCTTGTGTGGAAGATAATCGGGTGCTTATGGATGGATGGATAAATGTATGGATTAATAATTATGGATAAATGTATGGATTAATAATTATGGATAATTATGGTTGTGGTTATTCCAAATTGGACCCCTTTTTGCTGTTATTATAGTATTTTTAATTTTATTGAATATATTTAACTCAATATAGATCCGTAATATGTATGTCCGGACCCTGCTCTGTAGGGTCAAGCATGAGCATTTGCCAACTTAAAGTTAAACCAATTTCTGTTAGGGTTTTACAACTCCCTTGAAAATATTGTCAATTTAGCGTTTTTTAAGTTCGTTTTTATTATTTATTTATTAATTTGTAATGACATTAGATTTATAGTCCCATTTGAGAATTTTATAAATAAAATTTTTTAAATATTTTTTTTCTCATAACAAAAAATTAATTTTGTTTTATTCTAAAATTTTGACAAGAGTTGGGTGAAATTAATGAGTATGAAAATCATGTAAAAAGAGTGAAAGAATGAAAATGTGTAAAGTAGTGTAATGGTAAATGGTGTGTAGTGTATGGTGATTTTTTGCTTTGAATTCAATGGCAATTAATGGTTTATTATAAAATTGCACTTACCTTGAGCTTGGAATTTGTGATTTAATTTTTTTTACTGTTGATGAAATAACTTAATCCAAACACTGAAAATAAAAGAAAACAATTTCAATTAAGTAATATTTTAAGACAAAAAATATTGACAAATCTTATAAAAAGAAAAAACGCTACAATGACATCATTGTTAGCGTATACATGAACAAACTTTGTGACAGTTAACTCTATTTCGCTCACACACACCCAACTATATTTACCGATTTGTATTGAAAAAAATTATTAGAAACCAGTAAAGAAAGTCTTAAAGTCGGGCGGGGCCGACTTTATGATACCCTACACCACTTTGCTAATTTAGTAGAGCTCCACATAACAATTAAAAGTTTTTATGGGAGAATTCAATCATACACGCTATGATTATAATTTTAATTTAAAGTTCAAAGGACTAAATATGCCGAAGTATTTGTATCTTTTAAATTCGGAATTGTATTGCCCATTTGGTGCACAATTAATTTGAAATCGGAAAAAGATATATATGGGAGCTATATCCAAATCTGAACCGATCTCGATAAAATTTAGCAAAGATATTTCTGAGCTATATTTGATATATTTCCCTGAATATCGTTGTTACGGAGTGCATATTACGGTTGTGGGTAACAAATATAACAAATCGGATGAACTATAGCTATATCTGAACCGATCTTCACCAAATTTGACATACTAGCTTCTAGACTCAATTCGGTCGTAAGTGCCAAATTTCATCCCATTTGGGCAAATATTAGACGTTTGGTGCACAATCAAAGGTAAATCGGACGAAGTTATATATGGGAGCTAAATCCAAATCTGAACCGATCTCGATAAAATTTAGCAAATGTATTTCTGAGCTGTATTTGATATATTTCCCCAAATATTGTTGTTGCAGAGTGCATATTACGGCTGCAGAGGGCAAAAATAACAAATCGGATGAACAATATATATATGGGAGCTATAGCTATATCTCAATCGATTTCGATCAAATTTGGCATACTTATTTTCAGCCCTAATTTGGGTGCATGTGCAAAATTCCATACAATTCAGGCTGATATTACACGTTTGGTGCACAAAAAAAGGCAAATCGGACGAAGATATATATGGGACCTATATCTAAATGTTGACCGATTATGTCCAATTTCAATAGGGTTCGCCCTTGTACCAAACAAATGATTTGTGCAAAATTTCAACTGGATCGGGCAATAAATGCGACCTGTAAATACATGAACAGACGGACAGACGGACGGACATGCATAAATCGACTCAGAATGTGATTCTATGCAGATCATCAAAAGGAACTATGGGTCTATCTCGTTTCCTTTTGCCTGTTACAAACAAATGCACAAAGACATAATACCCTGACCACCTTGTGGTGTAGGGTATAAAAAGCGCCACATTGGCAACATTGTTAGGAATGATTCATTAAAGAGAGTAGAGATTAGTGGGACAATTTTGTGTTAGTCTGTTAACTCTGTATCTCTCTCTCTCTCTCTCTTACACAGCACAGACACATATTTTTGAATAACTATTGTATGGTGTATTCGAAGATCTGACGTCTATTTTTTCAAAATTCTTACCACTTTTTATTTATTTAGGAAAAACAGTTATTATTTAAAAAATATTGACATCACTGGCATCTGTCATTTCTCAAAATATTATGCATAGGAGCTTTTTAAACTTTCAAAATTTTGTAGAACCTCCTCTTTGATATTTCCCATCATCTGTAGCCCGGCCTGTATTTTGTTGCCCTTGGAACATCAACATAAATTCATTGATTCGTCTGATGTTTATTTGTCAACATTGTGACATCTGTTGTGACATAAACAAAACACACAGTACTACTTCACAGTGGAGTTGAAGTTGGGTAAACAAAGTTTAAACTTTGTTTACATATTTAAAACAAAAACAAAAAAAAACGCTCACAAAGAGGAAGCGAGGATACAATGTAGAGCAGCTAATTGTATGAGATTTGTAAACATTAAAACCTGATACTCCAGTGGCTCTTATTTGACACTTGAACATAAACAAACAATGACAAGGAAAACAATGGAGTTCCGATGAGATTTTGATGAGAAAAAGCGTTCCTCCGGCTCCAGATTGACGATTTTTTTTCCTAAAGAGAAATAGTATCACAGATCCTCGACGAATTTGTTACTATGGAAAAAACTTCATCCTGTGGCCGGACGAATTTTTTTCTATGGAAAAAACTTCATCCTGTGGCCGGACGAATTTTTTTCTATGGAAAAAACTTCATCCTGTGGCCGGACGAATTTTTTTCTATGGAAAAAACTTCATCCTTTGGCCGGACGAATTTTTTTCTATAGAAAAAACTTCATCCTTTGGCCGGACGAATTTTTTTCTATGGAAAAAACTTCATCCTGTGGCCGGACGAATTTTTTTCTATGGAAAAAACTTCATCCTGTGGCCGGACGAATTTTTTTTTATAGAAAAAACTTGGTCCTGTGGCCGGACGAATTTTTTTCTATAGAAAAAACTTGGTCCTGTGGCCGGACGAATTTTTTTCTATAGAAAAAACTTGGTCCTGTGGCCGGACGAATTTTTTTCTATAGAAAAAACTTGGTCCTGTGGCCGGACGAATTTTTTTCTATAGAAAAAACTTGGTCCTGTGGCCGGACGAATTTTTTTCCTATAGAAAAAACTTGGTCCTGTGGCCGGACGAATTTTTTTCCTATAGAAAAAACTTGGTCCTGTGGCCGGACGAATTTTTTTCCTATAGAAAAAACTTGGTCCTGTGGCCGGACGAATTTTTTTCTATAGAAAAAACTTGGTCCTGTGGCCGGACGAATTTTTTTCCTATAGAAAAAACTTGGTCCTGTGGCCGGACGAATTTTTTTCTATAGAAAAAACTTGGTCCTGTGGCCGGACGAATTTTTTTCTATAGAAAAAATTTGGTCCTGTGGCCGGACGAATTTTTTTCTATGGAAAAAACTTGGTCCTGCGTCCCGACGAATTTTTTTCTATGGAAAAAACTTGGTCCTGCGTCCCGAAGAATTTTTTTCTATAGAAAAAAACTTGGTCCTGCGTCCCGAAGAATTTTTTCTATGGAAAAAACTTCGTCCTGTGGTCGGACGAAATTTTTTCTATGGAAAAAACTTCGTCCTGTGGTCGGACGAAATTTTTTCTATGGAAAAAACTTCGTCCTGTGGTCGGACGAAATTTTTTCTATGGAAAAAACTTCGTCCTGTGGTCGGACGAAATTTTTTCTATGGAAAAAACTTCGTCCTGTGGTCGGACGAAATTTTTTCTATGGAAAAAACTTCGTCCTGTGGTCGGACGAAATTTTTTCTATGGAAAAAACTTCGTCCTGTGGTCGGACGAAATTTTTTCTATGGAAAAAACTTCGTCCTGTGGTCGGACGAAATTTTTTCTATGGAAAAAACTTCGTCCTGTGGTCGGACGAAATTTTTTCTATGGAAAAAACTTCGTCCTGTGGTCGGACGAAATTTTTTCTATGGAAAAAACTTCGTCCTGTGGTCGGACGAAATTTTTTCTATGGAAAAAACTTCGTCCTGTGGTCGGACGAAATTTTTTCTATGGAAAAAACTTCGTCCTGTGGTCGGACGAAATTTTTTCTATGGAAAAAACTTCGTCCTGTGGTCGGACGAAATTTTTTCTATGGAAAAAACTTCGTCCTGTGGTCGGACGAATTTTTTTCTATGGAAAAAACTTCGTCCTGTGGTCGGACGAAATTTTTTCTATGGAAAAAACTTCGTCCTGTGGCCGGACGAATTTTTTTCTATGGAAAAAACTTCATCCTTTGGCCGGACGAATTTTTTTCTATGGAAAAAACTTCATCCTGTGGCCGGACGAATTTTTTTCTATGGAAAAAACTTCATCCTGTGGCCGGACGAATTTTTTTCTATGGAAAAAACTTCATCCTGTGGCCGGACGAATTTTTTTCTATGGAAAAAACTTCATCCTGTGGCCGGACGAATTTTTTTCTATGGAAAAAACTTCATCCTGTGGCCGGACGAATTTTTTTCTATGGAAAAAACTTCATCCTGTGGCCGGACGAATTTTTTTCTATGGAAAAAACTTCATCCTGTGGCCGGACGAATTTTTTTCTATGGAAAAAACTTCATCCTGTGGCCGGACGAATTTTTTTCTATGGAAAAAACTTCATCCTGTGGCCGGACGAATTTTTTTCTATGGAAAAAACTTCATCCTGTGGCCGGACGAATTTTTTTCTATGGAAAAAACTTCATCCTGTGGCCGGACGAATTTTTTTCTATAGAAAAAACTTCATCCTGATGCCGGACGAATTTTTTTCTATAGAAAAAACTTGGTCCTGTGGCCGGACGAATTTTTTTCTATAGAAAAAACTTGGTCCTGTGGCCGGACGAATTTTTTTCTATAGAAAAAACTTGGTCCTGTGGCCGGACGAATTTTTTTCTATAGAAAAAACTTGGTCCTGTGGCCGGACGAATTTTTTTCTATAGAAAAAACTTGGTCCTGTGGCCGGACGAATTTTTTTCTATAGAAAAAACTTGGTCCTGTGGCCGGACGAATTTTTTTCTATAGAAAAAACTTGGTCCTGTGGCCGGACGAATTTTTTTCTATAGAAAAAACTTGGTCCTGTGGCCGGACGAATTTTTTCTATAGAAAAAACTTGGTCCTGTGGCCGGACGAATTTTTTTCTATAGAAAAAACTTGGTCATGTGGCCGGACGAATTTTTTTCTATAGAAAAAACTTGGTCCTGTGGCCGGACGAATTTTTTTCTATAGAAAAAACTTGGTCCTGTGGCCGGACGAATTTTTTTCTATAGAAAAAACTTGGTCCTGTGGCCGGACGAATTTTTTTCTATAGAAAAAACTTGGTCCTGTGGCCCGAAGAATTTTTTCTATGGAAAAAACTTCGTCCTGTGGTCGGACGAAATTTTTTCTATGGAAAAAACTTCGTCCTGTGGTCGGACGAAATTTTTTCTATGGAAAAAACTTCGTCCTGTGGTCGGACGAAATTTTTTCTATGGAAAAAACTTCGTCCTGTGGTCGGACGAAATTTTTTCTATGGAAAAAACTTCGTCCTGTGGTCGGACGAAAT